CCCAACTTTCCTTTCCGGGAGTCGCGGCCTCATGCAGTTTTAGTTTTGTGAGCCCCCGCTGCCCCTTACCTTGAGGGGCTTGTGGCTGTGCGTTTTGTGGCCATCCGTCACTGCCGAGGGCCTCTGGTTCACCACGGTCAGCAGGTGGCGCTGGTGGACCAACGCTTCCTTGAACTCTTCTTCCGTCTTCGTTTCCAGAAGCTTCTGCCGGAAGGTGATATCGGAAAACATGGTGGCAAACGTCCGGCCCACTTCGGTCGCGGTTTTGGTACTTTTCTGAGGAGAGGACAACAACCGTGAGGCGTTTCAGTGGTGTCCTGCAATACCGGCCACGCCACCCAAGTGTCACTTGACTTGACGGATGATTTTTTTGAACTAGTTAGTGGGGATAATCTAGGGTTGGATCCAGCAGTAACTAGTGGGAGATGGGGGGGGGGGAAGCAGGGGAGGGCAGCGATTGTCACTGATAAGCAAGGACGCCACGTCTGGCGTGACCCAGAAGTACTGGCATTGAGCTGGGGTGACACTCTGGCACTTCCAGGTTGTGCCAGAAGTGATGTCATCACACACCGATTGCTGCCCCTTCCTTTGGCCAGCTGGCTTCTGCCCACCGGACAGGGGAGTGCAGGCAGGTAGCAGCTCTAATTGCGAGGAGTTTGCCCGCCTTTAGTGGGCACCTGGGAAGTCTAGGATAACCGGGATTTAGCAGAGGCCTGTGGAGCGCTACGCGTTAAGAGAAACTCTCCATTCCAGTAGAAAGTGGAAAGCACCAAGGACTAATCTGGCTACATATAACATACAACGTAGGTAGGATTCTGAACTAAAATAGTTCAGACTTAGAAGGGGGCATGCATGCTTCATTTTTTAAAATACCGCCTGGGGTAAAAAGCACCCTGCAGGTAGTAAGCTGGCACCTCAAGGAGAGGATAATGCCAAACTTTTCTCTCTGGTGCCTATTTCTCTAATGGGGGGACTCTTTTTTTGGGGGGGGGGATGTGGGTAAACACAAGAATTACATTCCCAGAATCTGGGGTTGAATCCAGCAGTGACTTCCCCTGACAGAAGCTGTTTACATCACTGGAAGGTTCTTCCTTTGCTGCTAGGGTTGCCAACCTCCAGGTGCAGCCTGGAGATCTCCCAGAACTGATCTCCAGACGACAGAGATCAGTCTCCCTGAAGAAAAGGGTGGGCTCTGTGGCACTGTGCCCTTCCGGGGTCCCTCCATTCCCTAAACCCTGCCCTTCCCATGCACCATCCCCAAATCTCCAGGAGTTCCCCCTGCCTAGAGTTGGCAACTCAACCTGCTACAGTTCAAAATGCTCCCAGAAATGATGATGATGAAGAAGAAGAGATTGGATTTATACCCGCCCTTCACTCGGAGTCTCAGAGCGGCCTACAAACTCCTTTCCCTTCCCCTCCCCACAACAGGCACCCTGTGAGGGAGGTGGGGCTGAGAGAGCTCTCTCGAGAACTGCCCTTGAGAGAACAGCTCTGAAAGAACTTATGGCTTACCCAAGGTCATCCAGCAGCTGCAAGTGGAGGAGTAGGGAATCAAACCCGGTTCTCCCAGATTAGAGTCTGTGCACTTAAACACTACACCAAACTGGCTCTCGGTGCTGCTTCACAGGGACAGGGGACCCTCAACACACGGAGTCAGAGGTGGGAGTTCAGCAAAGAACCTCCCCGTGTGCTGCCATATACCGAATCGACCCTGGGTCCATCGAGGTCAGTATTGTCTACTCTGACTGGCAGTGGTCATCCGGGGTCTTTAGCCAAGCAGATGCCTTTCACATCATTCACTGCCTGGTCCTTTTAATGGGAGATGCCAGGGGTTGAACCTGGGACCTTCTGCATGCCGAGCAGAGCCAGTCTGGTGTAGTGGTTAGGGGCGTGGACTCTAATCTGGGAGAACCAGGTCTGATTCCCCACTCCTCCACATGAAGCCTGCTGGTGTGACCTTGGGTCAGTCACAAGCTCTCTCAGAGCTGTTCTCTCAGGAGCAGTCCTCGAAAGAGCTCTCTCATACCCTCACAGGGTGGCTGTTGTGGGGAGGGGAATGCAAAGGAGACTGTAAGGTGCTCTGAGACTCCAAGTGAAGGGCAAGATATAAATCCAATCTCTTCTCTTCTTTTTCTCTTCCACTGAGCCACGGCCCCTTCCAGGAGGTGAAATCTACTGCTGGTTCAGTACAGTCCTACAGATTCTAGCCCCCCCCCCCATTCTGTACAATTTATGTTGTGTGGTGCTGGTATGGGGAAATGTCTTTCCTGTGGGGCTTTGTGCCAGTTTGAACTGGGGCACTACGCAAGGTAAGCAGCTGCTTTGCGAGCTTAAACCAAATAATGAACACCTGAAGCTGCCTTATACTGACTCAGACTGACTCAGACCCTTGGTCCATCGAGATAAGTATTGCCTACTCAGACTGGCAGCAGCTCTCCAGGGGCTCAGGAGGAGGTCTTTCCCATCACCTACTGCCTGATCCTGTCAACTGGAGATGTCGGGGATTGAACCTGGGACCTTCTGCATGCCAAGCAGAGACTCTTCTACTGAGCCACATCCTCTCTTTACAGCTCTCCAGGGTCTCAGGTGGAGGTCTGTCACATCACCTACTGCCTGATTCTGTCAACTGGAGATGCCGGGGATTGAACCTAGGACCTTCTGCATGCCAAGCAGATGCTCTCCCACTGAGCCACAGCCCCCTCTTTACAGTTCTCCAGAGTCTCAGGCAGAGGTCTTTCCCATCACCTCCCACCTGGTCCTTTTTAACTGGAGATGCCAGGGATTGAACCTGCGACCTTCTGGATGCCAAGCAAGTGCTGTGCCATTGAGCTATGGCCTCTACTCTACAATACATGAACACATGAAGCTGCCTTATACTGACTCAGACCCTCGGTCCATCGAGGTAAGTATTGCCTACTCTGACTGTCAGCAGCTCACCAGGGTCTCAGGAGGAGGTCTTCCCCATCACCTACTGCCTGATCCTGTCAACTGGAGATGCTGGGAATTGAACCTGGGACCTTCTGCATGCCGAGAAGACACTCTACCACTGAGCCACAGCCCATCACATGAAGTTGCCTTCTACTGACTCAGACCCTTGGTCCATCAAAGTCAGTATTGACTACTCAGACCAGCAGCAGCTCTCCAGGGTCTTTCCCATCACCTCCTGCCTGGTTCTTTTAACTGGAGATGCTGAGGATTGAACCTGGGACCTTCTGCATGCCAAGCAAGAGGCTCTCCCACTGAGCCACACCCCCTCATTACAGCTCCTCAGGGTCTCAGGCGGAGGTCTTTCCCATCACCTCCTGCCTGGTCCTTTTTAACTGGAGATGCTGGGGATTGAACCTGGGACCTTCTGCATGCCAAGCAGATGCTTTCCCACTGAGCCACACCCCCTCATTACAGCTCTCCAGGGTCTCAGGCGGAGGTCTTCCCCATCACCTACTGCCTGATCCTGTCAACTGGAGATGCCGGGGATTGAACCTGGGACCTTCTGCCTGCCGAGCAGAGGCTCTACCGCTGAGCCACGGCCCTTCCCTGAAGTAGGCAAGGTCGTACCATTTTGGGAGGGGCCAGCACCAGAATGACAAATCTCACTTCGCAGGAGTTCTCCCCCCAGTTCTGAGGCCTCTCCAGCCGGCTGATGCAGACGTGACGTCGCTGAAGGGACTTGATAGTGCAACTGCCAAAAGAGGGGGAAAAAACCATTTGTTCAGAGATTAAGAAAAACAAACCGTGGCATAGTGCATATCTGAGAGCAGTGGTGGGGGGAGGGCTTGGAAAGGGGTCTGCATCTATTGTCCCAGAAGGCCAGAGACTTGCACAGGTTGGGGGGAGGGTGGTCCAAAAGTGCGTGGACTAGAAACCTTTTGCAGAATAAAAGAGGGAAAGCCCTCTATTGGTGCAGAAGACGAAATGCTGTTTGATTATGTTGCTCTGAACCACAGACTTCCGCCCAAGTACGTTTCTTCGAAGGATCTGCGTTAGGCAGCAAATGTTAAAGAGACCCCCTCACTTCTGCAGGAGTATACTGCATTACCCTGCAGTTGTGGACAGGTTTACATCGGGACCACACAGCGTAGCATCCAGACAAGAGTAAAAGAACAGGCCATCAGAGGTGCTTTTAGGGAGGTACCACCAGATACAATCCGTAGACAGACTTTGTCCTTGCTCCCTAAAAGATATAGAATCCACTACACACACCATACTTCATTGTCCCCTCTATAGGGATATCCGATCACGTTTTATTACTCCATTTCTAGAGGGTAAGAGCTGGCACTCTGATGACTCAATTGTTCACTTTCTTCTGTTTAATTCTAATTGCGAAATAATGGAGGCTGTTGCAAATTTTTTATATTATGCAATCAGAAGATGAGGCTTGAATAGCCAAGTGTAAGTGACTGATGCATCTTAGTATTCTCCTGTATTTCCATTATGTTTTGTGCTTCCATGCCAATAAAGGTTTTGTGTGTGTGTGTGTGAGTAAAAGAACATGAAAGACACTGCAGACTTGGCCAGCCTGAAAAATCAGCAGCGGCTGAACATAGCCTAACTCAAACAGGACACAGTATCTTATTCCAAGACATTGAAAGGCTGGACAACACATCCAGTTACCATGTCAGATTACACAGGGAAGCCACTGAAATTCATAAGCATAAACACAATTTCAACAGGAAAGAAGAGAGTTTAAAAATAAATAGGGCACGGTTTCCTGTCCTGAAAAACACAAAATGCTCTACATCTTACAACAGCACTACAGATCAGATTAGAATATCAACAGCCAATCCATATGCAAAAGAACCTCCTCAGGAAAGGTTCATTAGCATGTCACAGCCTGGGGAACTCCTACAAGAGAATGACTCTGCCCTACCCCACCTTCCTGAGTAGATATGAATGACCTGCCTACCATTTTTCTTCTCACTTTGACACAGAGAGTACTCCATCTTTCTGTGTTATACCTCTGAGGATGCCAGTCACAGCTGCTGGCGACACGTCAGGTAACACAATGCCAAGACCACGGCCATACAGCCCAGAAAATCTACAACAATGAATGTTAAAATAGCTTGTGAAACCATTTAAAGGAGAACTAACTCTGGCTAACTTGTAACCCTCCTTGCTTCTCTATATGCTTGCAGAATATATAAAAATGTGTGTGTTTTTAAGGGGCTAAAGAATTGGAAACAAGAAAGACCATTCAAATGGTTTAAAATTTCATCCCCGATATTTACCTACGGAACACCCGCATGCGGATCACAAAATCCACACAACGGGACCCTTCCCAGAGCCGTGGTCTATGTTTTGGCAAATCCTGGGTAACCCTGCACCCCCAGTCTTGCAGAAACAGCTTAAAAAATAGGTTAAAAAAATCCTAAACAGCAAATGCAATGTCTGCGCACATGCAAACGTTGATGTTCAAGTGGCATTTCAGGTTCCCGTGGCAACCTAAAATGGCACTTGATGATGTTGCTGTGAGGGAAAGTGGAAATCAGGGGGAGACGGAAGATGAGCTGACTTGGGGTGGGGGAAAGGCGGGCGAGCCGGCAAGGTGAGAGGATCGAGAGCCAGCAAGGTGGGCGGAAGACGAAGCTGAGCTGGGATCTAGCACAGGGAGGGAGAAAAAGCACGGGGGGGGGGGGGGGATTTCCCCTCCCTGTGAGTGCCCGCAGGTCCCCAGACTGGATCCCTGCTTTCCGAAGCCCACACAATCTATTCATTCAAAGTTTTTTAAATTACAACGACGCCCAACTGAGTGAAACAAACAGTGGGATAAGAAATGACAGGAAAAGGGCAAAGGGCCCATCTATCGCGTCCCAGAAAATTGCACACAACCTCAACCTCCCCTGTTTATCGCATCAAACTGAGAGGCCGAGAATTCCTTTTAAGGCTCAGCTGCAACATCTCCTCGGCTGAAAGCCGACATCTGAATGGCGGCGTGGACACCCTGATTGCAGGGCTGGTCAGTGTAAGCGTCTGCCGATCAAACAACGATCCATGATTAAAGGGTGCTGACACGGCTCTGACTGTCCTGAGCGGTGTTCCCTCTAAGCTGAGTTAGTGTGAGCCAGCTCACAGTTCTTAAGCCTCCGGCTCACACATTTTTGTCTCGGCTCAGGAAGGAGGGCTCCAGAGAAAACTAACTTATGCAGCAGCCAAATCACCTGCTCACGACTTTAAGGCCAGTAGCTCACAAAGTAGAATTTTTGCTCTCTAGACTCCACAGCTTAGAGGGAACCATTGGTTCTGAGCCCCCCGTTTCTTCTTGTACACATTTCTGTCTATCACCACCTTCATACAGTTGCCAATTCCAGGCAGTGTTCCCTCTAAGCTGAGTTAGTGTGAGCTAGCTCACAGATTTTTAACCTCCAGCTCATACCCTTTTGTCTTCGCTCAGGAAGGATGGCTCCAGAGCAAACTAATTTATGCAGTAGCCAAGTCGCTCGCTCACAACTTTAATGCCAGCAGCTCACAAAGTAGAATTTTTGCTCACAAGGCTTCACAGCTTAGAGGGAACATTGATTCCAGGTTGGGAAACTCTTGGTGATTTAGAGGCAGGGCCTGTGGAGGGTAGGAGCAACCGCAGTGAGGTGCCAGGCCACAGAAGCCACCCTCGAAAAGAGACACTCTCTCTAGAGGAACTGATCTCTGTCATCCGGAGATCAGATTGTAATTTGGAGGGTTCTCCAGGACACACCAGGAAGTTGGCTACCCCAACAGCAAGCTTTCCTGGGACTCGGGGCAGAGGACTCCAAACATCTGCCAGTCTGAATTCATTCTTCCATGCAGATGTCTTTTAATTACTATGAGGGGGGGGGACCCCAAGTCTTTTATCATTGAAACCCTGGTCGCTGTGGTTACTTGATTTATGCAAAAAATGACCTGAACCTAAGAACAGCCCTGCTGGATCAGACCAATAGTTCCAACTAGTCCAGCATCCGGTCTCACACAGCGGGCAACCAGTTCCTCTGGAGGGCCAAGGACAGGGCAGGGAGGCCGAGGCCTTCCTCTGATAAGAACCTCAGAAGAGCCCTGCTGGGTCAGACCAGGGAGGGTCCATCTAGCCCAGCATCTCGTCTCATACAGGGGCCAGGCAGTTCCTCTGGAGGGCCAGCAACAGGGCTGAGAGGCCGAGGTCAAATGACAAAGAACCTAAGAACAGCTCTGCTGGATCAGACCACGGAGGGTTCATCTAGTCCAGCCTCCTGTCTCACACAGTGGCCAACCAGTTCCACTGGAGGTCCAACAACAGGGCAGAGAGGCTGGGGCCTTTCCCTGAGAAGAACACCAGAAGAGCCCTGCTGGATCAGACCAGTGAGAGTCCCTCTAGTCCAGCATCCGGTCTCACACAGTGGCCAACCCGTTCCTCTGGAGGGCCAAGGACAGGGCAGAGAGGCTGAGGCCTTCCCCTGATAAGAACACCAGAAGAGCCCTGCTGGATCAAGCCAGGGAGGGTCCATCTAGACCAGCCTCCTGTCTCACACAGTGGCCAACCAGTTCCTCTGGAGGGCCAACAACAGGGCAGAGAGGCCGAGGCCTTCCCCTGAGAAGAACATCAGAAGAGTCCTGCTGGATCAGACCAATAGTTCCATCTAGTCCAGCATCCGGTCTCACACAGTGGCCAACCAGTTCCTCTGGAGGACCAACAACAGGGCAGAGAGGCCGAGGCCTTCCCCTGATAAGAACCTCAGAAGAGCCCTGCTGGATCAGACCAGAGAGGGTCCATCCAGTCCAGCATCCTGCCTCACACAGAGGCCAACCAGTTCCTCTGGAGGGCCAACAACCTGAGGCCTTCCCCTGACAAGAACATCAGGAGAGCCCAGCTGGATCAGACCAGTGAGGGTCCATCTAGTCTAGCACCCTGTCTCACACAGGAGCCTACCAATTCCTCTGGAGGGCCAACAACAGGGCACAGAGGCCGAGGCCTTCATAAGAACCTCAGAAGAGCCCTTCTGGATCAGACCAGTGGTCCATCTGGTCCTGCCTCCTTCCTCACACAGGGGCCAACCAGTTCCTTTGGAGGGCCAACAATGGCATAGAGGCCGAGGCCTTCCTCTGATGTTGCCTCCTGGCTCTGGGGTTCAGGGGCTTAGTGCCTCTGAGCGTAGAGGTTCCCCTCAGTCACTATGGCTAGCAGCCATTGATAGACTTCTCCTCCATGAAACTGTCTAATCCCCTTTTAACCTGTCTGGGGAAACAAACTAAAGGCACTCTTCTTCAGCACTCGAGCTGTGAAGAAAGGTTTAACTTTGAGGCACGCAAAAAAAAAGGTTCTGCTCTCCTTCGTGTGCTTGGCTTTGGGGGGGGGAGTCTCCCCCCAAAAAAATAACTTTCTAATCGACCCTGCCGTCTGGGAGAAACTATCCCAGTCTGGGTATCTTTTCCTTATCATTGCTGATACACCCCCCCCCCCAAAAAAAACACATTCCCCATCCATTTCTGGCTAACCACCGGGCAAAGCCTGTCGCGTTACAGGTGCTCTCCCTGCGCTGCTCCTGTAATAACTATCAATAAAAATCGGGCTTTCCAGAACAATGAGGTTCATTTAATTATTGTGATTTTAAAAAAAAAACACAAGAGGAAAAATGCTTTGAGGGCTTTTTCAGCTGCAAGTGCGGTTACAGAACTGAGGCATCCCGGCTTTCAGTGTTCAGCTGCGGGGTCGCCGCTCTGGAAGCGCATTTTGCT